ATCAATGCCAATTCTGTCTTTGCAATATTTTTCATTACTTAACCAATTGCAACTCCGAAAACAATGGAGATAGAATGCAGCCTTGTTTTACTCTAGTTTCTTCCCAAAACCTGTCACTTAGACAGTTTCAGTGCACACTGCACACTCTGAACCATCATTCAAATTTCTCATTATGGTATGCCATAGCGTTCAAAAATCCCCCATAGGGAAAGTCTATGTAAGCTCTCAAAAGCCTTCTTGAAATCAGTAACATTCAGGGTGAAAAGTTTTTGCTCCTCAGAATCTAGAATATGTCTCAGTGTAAATATTTCATCCAGACCATTTCCTCCGGTTCGAATAACTGCTTATTCTTCTCTCGTGGTTATATCAACACCCTCTTTAATTCTGTTGGGGATTACTTTGCAAAAGGTTTTTGACATAACAGATAATAAAGTAATTCTTCTCCAATTATTGCAGTCGTTGAGATAATCTTTTTTGATGCTTTTATAATTATTACTAGGGCTGTACCGAATAGTGATTTTCACTATTCGGCCGAACACGAATAGTGAAACCAACTATTCAGCCGAATACGAATAGTGTATCATCATCATCAGGTGCCTTGCCGACTGGCGTGGGCTATCATGCCTCTCCACAATCTGCAATATCCTGCAGCATGTATCAGTTCGTGTGCTGACACACCTCCATGCCATGCAACAAGACTGTCAAGAATCTTCAATCGTTGTCTTCCTCTATCCCTCCTTTTACAAATCTTTCCAGTGGTCACCAAATGTTCTTTTTTCTCTCTTCTCATAACATGGCTGAAAAAATTACGACTGTCTCCTTCTGCTGTCTGTGATTAGTTGTCTTCGGGCTCTCGCCTTTTTCAAAACCATCGTTCGCTCGGCCGTTGGTTCGATGTAATTTAAACACACCTTCATATTCTCGTTAGCAGTATCTTCAAATTTGATTTGGGCGAAGACACGACCTCTCTCTCTCTCTCTCTCTCTCTCTCTCTCTCCCTCTCTCTCTCTCTCTCTCTCTCTCTCTCTCTCTCTTTCACACACACACATACACAGACACACACACACGCACACACACACACACACACATTGCAGTTGGCATTTTATGCAGTTTGTACCAAGCAACCGGGTCGCAGTTTCCCCCGCTACGACAGACTTAGGCAACAGCAACTATTGGGTTAATGAGAGAGTTATTTCAGTCCATCACAGTGTATGAGAAACGGGAGTAAGGTAACCACTATTCGTATTCGGCCCGACCGCAACTATTCGGCCGAATACCGAATAGTTATTAGGTCCACTATTCGGCGCCGAAGCGAATACGAAGCGAATATTCGGTACAGTCCTAATTATTACTTTCTTTCATTGTTCTGGGACTGTTCCCTCTTCCTATAGTTATTTAAATAGTTCTAGCACTTTTTGGTAGTTGTCTCATCTGCTTCTTTGAGCATTTTTGCTGTAATATCATCATCCGCCCGACGTCTTGTTATTTGCTAGGAAATGGATTGTCTTTGTGATTTCTGTAACCGTAAACTGACCCTTATTTAAGGGGTGTTCGGTCCTTTCTTGTCTCTTCACAAACTTTTTAGGTCTAGTGAGTCAGGCCTGTTTAATGTCTCCTTGAAATTTTAAGTCCAATTTTTTTTCTGCTCAGGATCAGATGTGAACGTTGTGCCATCTTTGCTTTTGGTTGGACCAGCTCGTGGTCTGAATGTTCCAGTTATGTGTTTTGACATATTGTAAAGTGTTTTGTTATTTCCAACCTTTGCTGCCAGTTCCCCTTCTTCAGTAATTTTATCAAAACCTACATACTTGTATCTTTGCTTGCAGCACTTTGTGCTTGTCTGTCTACTTGTCTGGATGACGATAAAACACAATTACAGAACCTTGCAATAAGCAAGATCGTTTCATAGCCTGTCTATTAAAATCCATACTTTTCAATAGCATGAGAAATATTCAGCAGAGATTTTCTTCAATTACAGAATTAAAAAATAATATTATACTTTACATCTTATCCTCTTTCAAAATTCTGTACAGGGTTTCCACAACTTACGACTAAGTTCCGTCCTGACTAACAGGGTTTTCACAGCTTACGACTAAGTTCCGTCCCGACTAACAGGGTTTTCACAGCTTACGACTAAGTTCCGTCCCGACTAACAGGGTTTTCACAACTTACGACTAAGTTCCGTCCCGACTAACAGGGTTTTCACAGCTTACGACTAAGTTCTGCCTTGATTAACAGGGTTTCTACAACTTACTACTGAGTTCCGTCCCGACTAACAGGTTTTCCACAACTTACGACTAAGTTCCGTCCCGACTAACAGGGTTTCCACAACTTACGACTAAGTTCCGTCCCGACTAACATCTCGTTGGTCAAATTTATATTTGTTAACATTTTTTCTCATTTACATATGTTATAAAAATTTTACATAAAATATAAAAAGTCGTTTATGTCTCATCATGTAGCAGGTCCTTTGCAGAACGTCGCTCTCATCGCGGTCAGCCTGAAATAAAATCGGTTTCTCGCCAGCTCTCCCGCCACATGCACTTTTATACTCAAGGAGTCACTTATATCCTGTGTCCATATTCGTGTTGGTCGGACCCTGCCCCTCCTTCCTGGTACCATGCCCTCTGCTATAATTTTTTCCAATCCGTCGTGGCGCTTGATATGATCAAAATATTTCAGCTTCCGAGACAGGATGCTGTTTATTAGCCAATCTTCCTTGATGTTCAGATCTTTCAAGATGTCAGTATTTCTCCTCTTTTTCGTCGAAGATATTCTGAGAATCTTTCTATAGCATTTCAGCTCAAAAGCCCCTATTCTCTTTCTTAAGGACTGGGAGTCCACGACTCACATCCGTATGTTGCCACAGGAAAGATGCATGCTCTCAAAATTCTAATTTTGATCTACTTGCTGGTGCTTAACCATAGACTTTTTAGGCTGTTTAATCTTTGTATTGCTATGGCCATCCTCTTTTTAATTTCTGTCCAACAGTCGCCACTGTTTTATAGAGCCTAGATATTCAAAGTTTGTGACATTTTCAATTTCTTCACCATTTTTTGTTATTTCTGGGTGACAGCCAGTTTTATCTGTGGACATTATTTTCAATTTCTTTAAATTCAAGAACAGATTTTGATCTTCCCTGTGCACAGTCTATGTACATATTATTTATTGTGCATGTTCAGAAAAATAATATGTATCAGTTTCAGAAACTGTTTTGACCCTATCAACGTAGTTATATTTTTTAATAACTGTTTGTATCTATTTATTTTTGTGGTCATAAGTGCGTTGGTCGTAAGTTGCATCCGTCGTAAGTCGGGGAGAAAGTGTAGTCATTTTCGCTGTCCAGAGAATTTTAAACATGTTTATGGAAAACCATATTTTAAACCCATTATGAAAGTTTTTGGCTTTGCTAATGAGTGTAACAAAATATGGTTGATCGGTCATCAGTTAGCTGAGCTGGACACTTCAGAAATGATGCCAGGTTGGACGGTTTGATGTAATTAATAAACAATTTAGAACAAGTACGATTAGCCCCATGCAGATAAGAAAATAAAAAAATTTTTAATGAACATACAGTGAAAAATAAATAGGTAAGAAAATATAAGAGAGAAAAGGGGTGAGTGGAGGGGAAACCAAGAACCATATATGGAAATACAGCTGATTAATATAAGTTCATTATGCAAAAATATACTAGAAATAAATGAGTGAATCTGTTACTTGGATATTGCAAAGGTTATCTGTTACTTCTATTACATTAATCTGATGTTAGTCAGCGATGAACAATGTGGATTTGTAGAAGGAAAACGTACAAACAATGCCATATACATCCTAAGGACATTGTCAGAAAGAGCTATAGAAGTAAAGACTGATTTGTACTTATGCTTCATAGACTATACAAAAGCATTTGACTGTGTGAAGCATGAAGAAGTAATCAAACTGTTAGAAAAATTAAACATTGATGGGAAAGATTTAAGAATAATAAAGAATATGTATTGGCAGCAAACAGCAGCTATAAGAATTAACAACTGTTTAGGTACATTTCAAAGCATAAAGAGGGGCGTACGACAAGGATGTGTACTTTCACCTGATTTGTTTTCAATATACAGTTAATATATAATGAGATCTTTAATTGATATGCCCCGGAATTGTGGTTGGTGGGCACAATATAAACAATTTACGTTATGCTGATGACACAGTCTTGATAGCAACAAGTCAGAAAGAATTACAGGAACTGATAGACATTGTGGTGTTAGAAAGTGGAAGAATGGGCCTCAGTTTGAATAATGGGAAGACAGAAGTAATGGTGGTATCAAAGAAACAAATTATTCCTAAATGTGTAATAAAAGTCAATGGTGTTATTTTAAGACAAGTACAGAAATTTAAGTATCTGGGCACATGGATAATATCAGATGGAAGATGCATAACTGAAATAAGAAACAGAATTGGACAGGCAAAAACTGCATTTTATAAAATGAAAAACATCTTGTGCAATATATTGAGAGTTAGAAAAAGAATTCTGGCTTGCTACATACATCCAGTTTTAACATATGGATGTGAATCCTGGACAATCGGTAGGCAGGCCAAACAATTTTTAGAGGCCTCAGAAATGTGGTTTTACAGAAGAATGCTTAGAATACCTTGGACAGCCAAAAAGAGCAACCAAGAGGTTTTAAAAGAGGCGGGACCCCGAAGACAGCTAATCACAGACATCAGAAGAAAACAGTCATCATTTTTCGGCCATGTTATGAGAAGAGGGAAAATAGAACATGTTCTGACCACTGGAAAGATCTGTGGAAGGAGGGATAGAGGAAGACAACGAGAGAAGATGCTTGACAGTCTTGTTGCATGGCATGGAAGTGTGTCGGCACACGAACTGATACATGCTGCAGCAGATCGCAGATTTTGGAGAGGCATGATCGCCCACGCCAGTCGGCAAGGCACCTGATGATGATGATGATGATGATGATGTTAGTTTTCAAGACAGTTCTTCAAAAACTCACGATCTCCTTGCTCGTACATAATATTTTCAAAATCCTGGCCAGCATACTTGAGCAAATACCTGATAGGCTGAGCCAACTGTGGAAATCAAATTAGTATTTATAATAAACATTTAAAAATGTTAAATCTCGTTTTTTTTTTTTTTCTTTGGCATCCATGCTTAGACACTAGACTAGACCAGACCAGAGCAGCTGACATCTCTGTGTGAAGAAAGTGTCAGGTGTAGCGAGATTAATTGAGCATGTCGTGAGGGCAAGCCCTGGCCCAATAGGAGGTTTTCTTGTATCCTTGTCGTGTGTTTCAATCTTGGAAAAATTACTTAGTGGTGTGTGCTTTGTGTTGGCTGTACTCACACACGCACACACACACACACACACACACACACGCACACACACACACACACACACCACACACACACACACACGCACACGCACACACACACACACACACACACACAGAGTGTATAGAACATTCACTCTCACCAACAAGCTAGCGGCTGCGTGACAACTGAATGCATTGAAGCCATGAAGTTAGTCGGGGCTTGTTTACTCAGCTCAATGAGCTGGAGTCTGTTGACTATTAAATATCTACAACCTTCAAACGTATTATGACCAACATCAATTGCTACATGAACAAACTCTAGCCGAGTTTTTACGTCCACAGGAAAGATGCATAGAGAAAGAAGACAATGTTATATGAGCGTGGAAACATCAAGAGATGGCCTGGACGAAGAGTCGGGACAGAAGTTTTTGCAGACATATTACAGCCTACTCTGGGCAGGAAGAAGGTTTTTGATGATGTGGTGATAAACTTCAGCCATACTGATCACAATACAAAATATCACCAATAGTGGATAATAATTCACCAGATGTGAATCAGAGTGCTAGCCGCATTCTTAAGTATACAGATCTACTGGTTAAATAGAAACAACATTATTAAGAGCTTTGGTAGTTCCTGCTTTCCAACTCATGTACTCTAGAGCAGATATTGATGGTAAGTTCAATCGCTGGTTTCTTCAAACAGCCGTGTCTGACCAGCGATGACTCGTTCTGACCAGCCATGCCTTCTCCTGACCAGTCATGACTCGTCCTGACCAGCCACCTGACCGTTCATATTCCGTCCTAACCAGCTGCGCCTTGTCCTGACCAGCGATGACTCGTTCTGACCAGCCATGCCTTCTCCTGACCAGTCATGACTCGTCCTGACCAGCCACCTGACCGTTCATATTCCGTCCTAACCAGCTGCGCCTTGTCCTGACCAGCCATGCCTCTTTCTGACCAGCCATGCCTCTTTCTGACCAGCCATGCCTCTTTCTGACCAGCCATGCCTCTTTCTGACCAGCCATGCCTCTTTCTGACCAGCCATGCCTCTTTCTGACCAGCCATGCCTCGTTCTGACCAGCCATGCCTCATGCTGACCAGCCATGCCTCTTTCTGACCAGCAATGCCTCTTTCTGACCAGCCATGCCTCGTTCTGACCAGCCATGCCCCGTTCTGCGTGTGTGTGTGCTGTGTTGAAAAATTACCATCATGTGCAGTGCCAGTAAGCATAGGTTTTCATGTTTCGCTAAAGCAAAAAAATATATATATATATTTATTGAAAAGCTGGACGGGAACGATAGTTTGCTGACCCCCAGAAATAAGATCTAACCTGGAAATAAGTCCTAGCTAGATTTCTCAGGATTAACCTGTTATAAGCCCTACGCGAAATATAAGCCCTAGGGGAGTTCCTCAGCCACGTCGACGGATTTCGTTTGTCCGTTGAAACATGCCGCGGGCCTATTGGATTAAAAACGAGTAAATGCATACGTAACTACAAATAAATAACATTGTTAGCAGGTTCCTTTCTGTTATTTCGCCACATCACACCGGCTCGAGATTTGGTTGGGAAATTCTCATTTCGAGCAAATAAATGAAAGGGGTAAAAATAAACAACGTTTAGTCTCGGACTGAAGAATGAATGAGATGGTCGGGGTTAGGGCTAATGTTAAATTATTAGCGACTGTATTACTAGTAATGATCTCGGGCCCATCTACGCACTAGCTGATCTTTCATTTGCTCAGGCTAGTCAGCGTGGCTCAAGGTGAGAGAGGTGTTCCTGCGTACTGATGTATTCACAAAGCTTACGGTGTTGAGTGCTAATCGTTCTTCTGTGAGCAGCGGCCGCCCACATTGCGTTCTCACTCGTAAGGAGAATTAGTGTTTGTTGGTGCGTATTTGACAGCCGTCTAGGATTGTCAGTATGAAATAAATTTATTCCAGCTGTCGCCGTTGACGGGCCCAAGGAGAGTAGCGTTACGTATTTGCAGCAACACGGCTTTTTGCGGGCCACTGCAAAATGTTAAGAAGTCTGAAACCACGGGACGTAGAATGCACTCTCTCGTGGGACCTAGGTTCAGTGAAGGGGGGGGGGGGGGATAGGGCCAACTGTACATGTTATGGGGACCTGTTTGCAAAGGGCTGCAAGGTCACGTAAATTAATATTTGAGTACCTGTACACACAAAAAGGCATTATCTTGAATTAAACCCCAAGGCAGACACCTCAAATTGGCGGCCCACGGGCCGCATGCAGCACTTTCAACGTGGGAGATACTCTCGGCGGTGGCGGAAGTCGCCGGAAGTCTAAAATTTAGGTCGCCGGAAGTCTGCAATTCACATGTGTCTGAGGCCCTGTTAGGTTATATTTTTGGCCTCGATAATTTGGGACCGTTTTTCGAAAGATAGCCTGAAAACAGCAAACTCAATACCACAACAACAGGTATGGCAACACTTACCCCGCGGATTTTCCAGTAACCTATTTTAATTTGTGAAGGCATCTTGTAACTTGTTCAAATAACGCGGTTTAAAACAGCACAGATTAGAACTGCGAGTGTGTGACGGCCTTGGCGTAGAGGGCTGCAAGCTGTTAACACCAGCCTCTCACCTTCCTATTTTATACGTGCAGCCTTACGTGCAAACCCGGAACTGTGACACAGCCATAAGTGTCGCAACCTGGGTGCCCTTGAACTCGCACCCCCCCCCCCCCATCTCAACACCCAGTTAATTGTGTAGCGTTACTAAGAGCGTCAACACAAAGATAAGAGTGGAAACTAACGATGTGTGACATGAGATGTTTAAGAAAATCAGTCAACATAACAAGAAGAGTATGACGTCCTACTTCAATTTGTGACGTGGGGCTAGTGCCAGGAAACAGCCGTCAACATGCGAAGGCGCCCATCTAAAACGTGAACAGGAATGCGCGACAATAATAGGCTCCCATTGGAATGGGAAGAGGCAATTGAATCAGTGAAGCGTACAAACTCACAATTAAAGGTAAAAGTCACGTGACTTGTACATAATATAATGCGTTCTACAAGCGAAGTCTAGGGTGGGGAAATAGTCAAAGATGATTTGCGCCGTAAACTATTGAAGCAACTTGACAACCGTAACGGTGGCAATCAACACCAAGGGGTCCAAGTGTAAATCAAATGATGAAGGTCATGTATGCAGTACTAACACTGGTGTATTCTGAACACTATAATCTGAACGAAAATGTGCAGTAACGTAACGCGTGGACAAGACACACCCAAAGACTCCAAGCACTCGTTAGCCTTCTCACACTCGTCTTGAAGCATTAGAATCCATATTCCATATCGGATTCGTTATCAGCTTACTATAGGTCAGCAGCTCGGCCTTGAAACATTAAAGGTTACTTCAGCAAGTCAGTATGCAGTCGAATACTAATGAGCACAGCTACGACATTTCTTCAACCGTATCCAGCAGTCCCAATGAGCTAAAGTGTCCGTAATCAATGATCCTGCTTCAAGCAGAAACGACAGTAACGCCAGCACACGGGCTGAACTTCTCAGTGGGGTCCCGGGCTTAACCTTCCCTTGGGATGAGCCACACAAGGACAACAATGTCCGTCTCCTTCGACTTCTAAACTTCGAATCTCCCTAAGACTCAAATGCCCGTAACAACAAAACGTAAAGCTTGGGACGTTTTATTTGCCTAGTCATTATTCGTGTGTGGTGGCTGCGTGGTCTCGAGGTATAATGTCTGCCTCGAGTGCTAGAGATTCCGGGTTCAATCCCCGGCAAGGGCTGGAATTTTTTACGTGAACTCATAGTAATCGCCCCTGGTTTCTAGGTAGTGACATCGGACGCCCGTGTGCATTGCTGCGCACGTAACAAATTCCTTGGCAGTTGGAAATCAAAAAGAGTAGCCTAACGGCGCTGCCTGTGCAAAAATGTGGAGATAAAAATCTACCCAAAGTATTTCAGGATCCTCGCCGGTGCTACACTTTGCTGAGCTGCTTCTGACTCAGACGAGTAAAAGAAGAACGGAGCACTTAGAGGTTTCTACCCGTGTGCCATGATGTAGACCCGTTGTTCTAAAACCTCTATTAATGTGTTTTAGTGCACGATCTGCACACGACAAAGAGACTATAAAAGAAACGAAAACAACATTAAAATGGTGGGAACAACACACTTGTTATCAGATATACTGAAAAAAAAATTGCAATGGTTTGGCCACCTGGTGAGAACAATTCAAGCGTCACCGGTTGCAAGAGCAACCTTTCTCATGGAAACATCAAGAGGCAGAGGAAGGTAAAGAAGACAATGGAAGATGGAGTTAAGAACTTGCTGAAACTCAACAATGTCACCATGCAGCAAGCTCATGAGCACCGACTATCCAGGAAACTGATCAATAGCTGTGCCTGCGACGCCTAACGCCAGAGAAAGACAGTAGACAGATAGGAACCACGAGAACCCATTTTAATTTGTTTATATATTTCAAATAATATCAAGTATTTTATTATTTCTATTGTCTATTCAGCACAGTAATAAATAATAATATAAATAATAATAATCATTATAGTAACAAAAATAATAATAATGTGCTGAGTAGCAAATAAGTACCATAATAATAGATTTGCAGAAATGTGAAATGTAAAGAGTCGTGCTTTAAACGATAATTTCTTTTTTCTTTTTTTTTTACGTATCCAGAAACCATTAGTTGTAAACCCTTTGGCTCGGTACTATGGATATCGCAACCCTTCGGCTTTGATTCCATTATAGGTACCGTTAATCTGGGAGAAATGTGGCTTTTCTGCCTACCCCCGGGAGTGAGCCCGGACCACAAGGAGTTTGTCACCCGGCCGCCGCGAAAGTCCGGTTTAACCAACTTCGCTAATGGTTCAAGAGGGCAACCTGGCACAATGACTAGCTGGTGTCTGGGTTCAATCCCATTTAATTTCTGTTGTGTGGGAGCAATCAAGAACCCGAGCGCTACCCCCCCCCCCTTTTTCCTCCCCTCCCCCCCCCTATTTGTAGACATGGAGACGGAAATAAGGTTGTCGTTGTCTTAGTTGTCTAGAGATGGGGTTGTGAACGAGTTCATTCAGTGCTAGGATTTTCTAATGTTCTGGCCAGCGGTTCACAACTCTTGGTATCAAGAGCAAAAGCAGTGTCTTACCACATCGCCGAAAACGGGACCAAAGAAGTACACCACAAGATGGATGCACAGTTAGTCATAGCTGGACTACTTTAAGGTCAGGTGATTATGTATGCCCAAGAGGCCTTGTAGCGGTCCCTGAGATAGGACCCAGCACTTGAACTTGGCTGAGGGTCTGCGGTGTCAAAAACATAGAAAAGAAACGGGTAATGGCCAAGCTTCGTGTGTTGTTCGAATTGTGGCTCTGCTTAAATAGAAATATCGCGAGCGATGTCATTTTGTCTAGAAAACGAGAAAGAATAAATTAATTTTTTAACGTGTCATTTTTGCTTATGCAAATGCTGTGTTTTGCCTCTGTTTTGTGTCTCTCTGTGTCTCTCTGTTTCTCCCCCCACCCTTTTATTCTTTCTGTTCTGCCATCCATATTTTAGCTTTCTCTCTATTATCTTTCTGCCTCTGCTCTTCTTCCTTCTCTCATCTCTGTGACCATAAAAGTATCACAATAATTTAGACAGAGTAACCGGAAGTGTGGTTCACGAAAGACAAGGCAAAGATCCGCCACAGTAACGATGGAGACAGCAGAGGAAAGACCCGGATTTAAAAGTGTATATTGCAGAGCAAATGATTACTAATCACGTCATTCAGACCAGCTAGGATTAGTAAGGCCACATTCGGTAAAAGTCTGGCTACTTGACGATGTTGAGAATTATTATTATTCTTCGCCTCCATAGGGTTTCTACGGTGCCAGTCACATATGTATTTTCATATTTGCAGGGGAGGGGGCTTGATATGTACCAAAGAGGAGCAGGATCATTGAAGGAGTGAAATGGCCGCAGTCGACTCTGGGGTGTCACTACGCGCACAGACGTCACACCATTTTGAAACTTCTTACTGCACTCATACACTAGCTGGGCGAAGGGGCATGCATGGCTTTACTGGACCTTCATTCGCCGATGGATTTCTAAAGGTTGTATCCCTTGACGTGAAAAAAAGGATAATATAACGCTGGTCCTCTTTTTTTCATGCCGAATATAGAGCAACCATCTATAAACTGTTAATAATGGCGTCGCCGAGTTCTTCGGCGTCGTGATGCCCCATGCTTAACACTCTTGACATCCTTAACAGCAGTATTGACAGGGTTATTGTAATCTCTATCACACTTTTGAGATTTTATTTAAAACTCCCTCGTAGCTTGGTGCTCGGCGTTTCTGTTGAAATATTTGTAAAATTAGGATACTGGTCTGTTTTTTTTTAATGCACTGATTTTGATAAACAGTTAAGATAGGTGGCTGCAGCGGCTGTTTCTGATATTTATTTTCTCACTTACCTCGGTTGCGCGTTGCGAACTCGCTTTATAATGCCGGGGAACCGGGTTCGATTCCCAGACGGTTTGTCTTTCGTTGGTTTCGTCAATGGTACCAAGAGCTGACGGTTCAGTAGCAATTTCAAACTACTGAACGTAAAATTTGCAAAGAAAAACCACAAAAGCCAATAAACGCTGGGGTTGGTTCCGCAACGTCCTGTAAATGATACGCAACATACCTGGGTTGCCAGGTCGACCCAGCGTAATATTAGTAGCGGGAAATTGTACGGGAAGTAAAGACGGTGTTCTATTGACCTGAATGCAGTAATTGAATAGAAAAGAAGCAGACATGAAGAAAACAATTACAAATTAAGACCGATGTCCTGCAATATAATTTTACAATTTATCATCATCATCAGGTGCTTTGTCGACAGGCGTGGACGATCATGCCTCTCCATAATCCGCGATCTCCTGCAGCATGTATCAGTTCGTGTGCCGACACATCTCCATACCATGCAACAAGACTGTCAAGAATCTTCTCTCGTTGTCTTCCTCTATCCCTCCTTCCAGAGATCTTTCGGTGGTCACAACATGTTCCATTGTCATTCTTATCATAATATTGCCGAAAAATGATGAGTTTCTCTTTCTGATGTCTGTGATAACTTGACTTCGGGCTCCAGCCACTTTTAAAACCTCTTGGTTGCTTTTTTTGGCTGTCCAATGTATTCTAAGCATTCTTCTGTAAAACAACATCTCTGAGGCTTCAAGAACTTGTTTGGCCTGCCTACCGATTGTCCAGGATTCACAGCCATATGTTAAAACTGGATGTATGTAGCAAGCAAGAATACTTTTTCTAACCTTCAATGACAGAGATATATTGCATAAGATGTTCTTCATTTTATAAAATAGAGTTTTTGCCTGACCTATTCTGTTTCTTATATCAGTGATGCATCTTCCATCTGATGTTATCCATATGCACAGAAACTTAAATTTCTGTACTTGTGCCAGAATAACACCAATAACGTTTATTACACATTTAGTAATATTTCTTCTCTTTGATACCAGCATTACTTCTGT